AGTAACAACTCATATCTCAGGCTTTTTTGGGTGAGGGATGAGATCCCCAAACAGGACCACTCGCAAGTCGGGCAGCCCCAGCCCCACGGGTTGTCCCAGCACACATGGGGCGAATAAGCACAGAGGAAAAGCCTGAGCGACTGCTGCCAAATGACTGGGAAGATGCAGCCCACGATGTCTGTTGTGTCTGAGATCTCTGTAAAGTCTCTCGCATCCTTCCTCAAGTTTAGTTTTCCAGTGGAGGCTGTCGCAGTAATGAGAATGTCTCCCATCTGCTCTTCACATAGCTTGGCACATTTAGCTAGAATATATATATATTTTTATTATGGAGTTAGCCAGTGGTAACCATGACGATTAGACTTATCACGCAGCATTTTTTTCCTTCCTCGAGTCAGTTTGAAATGCTGACAATTAAATAGATACAGTACACTTTAGAGATCCATCAGTCTCTTTGTTGTCTTGACAACCGGACTATATTTAGAAATGTAACAAGTACATGGAGTTCAATTGCACTTTTGCTAAAACATAGTTTTGTAGCTTGAGAATTTAATCTGTTGTTTGTAGATGCAGGTGCTTATTTGAGCTGTGCCTGACTTTCTCTTTGGTCTCCCTGGGAAGCTCCCACATAGCAGTGGGGAGACTCGGCTGGTGGAAAGAGGGTCCTTGTGAGGCAGGGAGCAAACCTGCCCACTGCTTGTTGGAGGTGCTGTGCACCACAGGGGCTTGGGCGAGGGGCTGGCAGCCCCTGCCTACTTGGGTACTGGCTGTCCTGCAGCCCTGGGTGCTCATGGTGCCCTGTATACCTGGGTACTTGTGGTTTAGCTACTGATCTGCAGTGCAAGAGGAATGTGTGAGATCGCTGTCCCAGATCTGCCGTTCCTGCAGATTTAGCTCAGCAAATGGTACTGGGGAGCAGTAAGCAGCGTGCCCAAGCATCTTCTCCCCTCCCAGGTGAGCGGCTGTCACGGTTCAGTAGCACTTTGGTATAGGAGGATGGTACCATGGAGTGTGACATTGGCAGGCTGTGGTGGCTTTCTTCCTGCACCTGAGCTGCCTAAGCTTTTGTTGCAGACGGGAGCTGCTCTCTGCCACTGAAGCAACAGCAGAGACTGTTTCTCTGTATCCCTTCCTCTGTTTTGTCTTTGATTTGCCGGGGATGTGTTTGTTTGATTTTAACAAAATACTACTACTAATAATTTTTTTTCTTTTTTCCCCCTATCCCTTCCCATTTGTGTGGCAAAATTGAGGTCATCCTCTCCCTATTGAGCTGGAGTAGCAGCGTGTGGGCTAGATGTCTGGAACTATGGATTTTTAAGGTTGCATTCAGGGCTCAAAGAGCCGAAGGGAGTTATGATGGAGTGCACCTTGGGGGGGGGGGGGGGGGCTATAAGTGTCCCTGTCCCCTGCCAGCCTTGTTGTGCACACACTGATGGTGGGTGTGTGTTGTGTGGCTGAGCTGCTCTCTGCCCTTTCCCTTTTGAGCCAGCTGTGGTCAGTGCAGGCACCTGTGTGCCATACCTATAAATGTGGTGATGTGCCAGCCCAGAAGGGCTGCTGGGACGTGTAGCTGCCATCCTGCAGCCCGATGGCTGCGAGATGCGGGCTGGCACCACAGTGCCCACATTAATCCTAGCACAGGACCCAGCAGTGCTGCTGACTTGCTTAACGTGCTGGCTTGCAAAGCTGTTTCTGAAGTGAGACACACCCAAACATGAGGATCTGAGAGTATTTCCCAGGCTTGAGCGATAGATGAATGAAATGAAAATCAGATGAGGAAATAGCTCAAACTTTCCCCATCACTCCTCTGTGGCTGACCCAGGTTGTGACGCTGGTCAGGGCTGCCCCTTTGGAAGGCTCTCAGGCCGAGGAACTGCTAAAAGTGGCTTCTTTGTGATGAGGTGTTCATGTCCCTTCCTAATCAGCACCTGAACCCTGGGGCACGGCCTGGGATGCTTGTGGATTTTCTGCAAAATCTCAAGCAAGACTCTTTCACCTCTCCCTGTCTGAAGCTTCGCTTATAATTGATGCTTGGTAGTATAATTTGGGCAGGACAACTGTAAAAAACAATCAAGCCAAGACTCTCCTTCATCAACAAAGCTGTGGCAATGCAACAATCCGAACAGGAGCTTGGTTACAGTGGACAGGGTGGCTTTTTGCCCAAGGGAACCAGTTCATTTGATGAGATGGTGTAAAGATGACAACCATGGGCCCATGGTATGGATGTAGTGATGGTCAGGAGCATCCACCCTCTTGGCGGAGAATTGTAAAACAAGTCAATAGCATTGCTGTGTGCTGAGGAGCATGGTCAGCACAAGCTTTTTCGCTAGGATGCTTTATGACAAGGGAGTGAGGAAGACTTTAGCGAGAGGAGCCCAACCTGAGATCAGCTGTTGTGGCCAGTGATGGCCAACAAAGTGCATCTGTATTTCCTGGAGTGCATGCTGTCTTGTCTGTCCCCTATACTTGAAATACAATTTAGTAAGGCTCTAAAGGAGGAGAGGATTGGGATTTTCTAGCAAGATTTTGCTTCCCTCATCCCTGTGTTTCTTTTTAATTCATTATCTGTCAAATAACATGGGTGATTTTTCAGTGTGTGTACACAGCTCAGTTTAATTTTTCTGTTTTCTTTGCTCCCTCCATTTTAACAATTTCCCAATGAAAATCCAAAAACATAGTTATATCTCCACTCCAGCTTTATTTGTAAACTGTTAACATTCCTTTTTCAAGTGCTTAATAGCTGCTGGGGTTTATTCTTAAAATACAACCACCAAAACCCAACGATGCTAATGAGTCTTCAAGAGTGCTTTAAACAAGTTTTCCCAATCAATCTGACAAAGATAATGGTCTTCTATTAGAAGATATTTAGCTGGAGGTTGGATGAGCTGTAATGTTTATGGGTCTGTAGATCCATAACCAGACAAAATCAGAATAACGCCTTCAATTTCAGTGGAGCTGTATCTGTTTATTACAACTGAGGCTTAGGCAGCGCTTTAGATGCAAATTGCAATCTCTCTGAAGTTAAGTGGGGTTTTGATTTAATTCCTGGAAGCAGTAATGTCAGCAAAGCGGTGAAGAGCTGGGACCCACATACACTGAAGTCTGTAACTTTGAGTTGCTCTCTTTCCCTTGCTGTCAAGATCAGATTCCCTTGATTTGGACTAGTAATTAAAATGCAGCTTCTCTTAAGCATCTCCCAAAGGCAGGCAGAGAGAGTGGAAGTGCAGCCTATGCAGATTATATATATCTTTCTACATACTTTGCAGAAAATGCCAGCAGTTACATTGATCTCTCTGACTGTTTGTGGTTGGGCTGTTGACCCGGAGCTTGTGCTTTCCAGCTCCAAAAATTCAGAGGCACTACCGCTGAATTAGCAGGCTGTGATGCAGAGAGGGCTGCTACTTTCTTTCTCCCAACATATTCATGTGCATGTGGTGCTTGGGAGATGTGGACACCACTGCTTATCACCCCGTGTGTGGCATAAGTGATTCACCATGCATTCATTTCTGGTCACATAAGCGGCATTAGTTTAAAGCAGGCTTGAGGCATAGGTTAGAGTTAGCTATTTGAAGTCTTCAGTCTGGAAGCAACATCAAACAGGGAGCAGAAAATGTATCATGCACAGAAAAATCTCTAGGATTTGTTTCCCCCTTTAAACAAAAACAATAATAATAAATTCCAAACTGTTCACATATGCTGTATCCTCTGTGGTCAGGACACCTGTTTGCCTCTTTTCTGTTACTTGATACAGGCTTACAGTGCTTGCAAAAATGTTGACATGAATTTTTTGTCATGGCAAATATGAAAGGAATATCCAGTGTCTGTGTGGGCAGGTCCTCAGCAAATTTGTCTGTGCTTCTTGCACTTTGGTGTGGATCTGAAGTGACTGCTGCAGTTCTTCTCCCCTGTGCTCCCCTTCCTCCACCACGGACCGGGAGGGCAAAGCCTTGCCAGACCCAGTTCTCCTGAGCAAAGACAGCGGATGATGGGGCTAATTGGTTTCAGCCTGATTTCCTTAAAAAAGTAATGTATGTGACTGGTTAGACATGTCTGTCCTGCCTCCTTTAAATGATTTAATCTCAGTCATGTTTGTTAAGAGATAATTAGGCTTTAGGAAAATAGGGGTGTGGATGCAGTTAGGAGGAGTTGGGGGTGACCTGGGGCAGCTGGGAGAGTGGTAGGCTGGGAGAGCTCGGGCAGGTGGAGGTGGACTGGACCTTTCACTAATCATCACTAGTATTTTTAAAATTTGCTTATTTCTTCTCCAGGACTGAGATGAAAGGAAATAGAAAACACCAGAGTAGGCTCAGATATCAATAAGCTGGAAGTATGAAAGGCTGCTGTTTGAAAGCAGCTTGCGGTAACTTAGAAAACTTGTGCTTTCTTTTTAGCTGGGTGTCTTTGGAGGCACCCAAAAGGAAAGCAGGGCAGGAGGTGGAGGTAGGGTTTGGGCTGTCCCGCCCTGCCACTTTTTCCACAATTGCTGTGTGCTTAATGCATCCCATCTCAGCTTCAGTTCTTCTCGGTGCTTACATGGCAGAGCCAGTGCTGTGGGGGTGGCTCACCATCGGCCCGAGCCACAGAGGAGGCTCGGGAAGAAGAAGCCCTTTAAGCAGGAGAGGCAGAAGGGTGTCTGGTCAGGCTTTGAAAGAGACTTTGTTACCTGCAGCCCTTACGTCATTGCCTTTCACCAGCTCTGCAGTGATTTAAAACGAGTAGCTTCTCTCCCAAATAAACCTCAGTTACTCTGATACTTGCTCAAATGTAATCTGTCCTGTCAGTGTGTAAAAAACCCTTGCATGGGTCAAAACAGGGACAGACTGGCACAAGTTGAATGAGAGGGGAAAAAAAAAAGCTATGGTCTGCTCTGTACAGGAGGGGAACAGGCATGACAGGCCCTTTTGGGGCTGTTTTTTTGGCGAGGTGTCACAGCCAGCTTGATTTACTTTCTGCTTTCATGATGAGCAAAACATTGATTCTGACCTTTCTGTTTGCACCCGCAGAGGTCCCTTGGAAGAGCCTGTCTGTACGTCTGTTTGGGTGCCTGACAGGGCTGCCTTGCTTCCAGGTGAGGAATGGATCAGGTCCTGGGGCTTTTGCCAACTGCTGAGTTTAGAGGCAGTGGAAAGACCCTGGGACCACATTTGGTCACTCAGCAAATGATGGGCATTTCTCCAAATCCCAGGGTGGTGGGAGGCCAGGCTAACCCAGGAGTCTTGAGATGGTTTTACTGTTTCTGGGTCCAGGTTTGGAACCAGCAAAAATGTAGGCTCTCCTGGGAATGGGAGTGTTGCATGGGAACGGTTGTGTGGTCTGGTGAGCTATATTACTTTGATTTCATTTTGAATGAGACTTTCCTGCTTGTGGACTTGAACTTGCTCCCTGTCCGTGACATGGCTCTCTGCAGCCTGGATACACTCCCAGCTGATGATGGAGAGCTGACTGTATTACTAGCTTTAATATAACCATGCTCCAGTGTACAAAAGCAGAAGAGTATATAAGCCTATTAAGAATAACCTGAATAGAAATTTAGGTGAGGAGGAAATTAATTCAGTCTTCAGAATAGCCAGTTCCATCAAATTCACTGGACGTACTTAGCTGTGGCTTAAGGATCACCCTGATAAACTACCCCAAACTCTTGTAGGAGTCCCTTGCCAGATTATGTGTAGGACATGAACTGTACTTCGTGCCCATCCCATCGTGCGATGATTTGATTGCAGCAAGGGTAAAACTGCAAAAAAGGATCAGTGTCAGGGTAGTAGGTCTGTCCTCAAGCCTGTCTCAGTTGTGCCATACCAGGAGGCGAAAGAAGTGCTAGAGGTGCCACAAAGTCATGGCATCTGGGGGAAGAAAGCAGTGAGCAGCCCTGTCGAGAAGCTGATAACGAATGGACAGGGATAGCTGGCAGCTGATCAGTGGCCACGAAGTTCAAGTTCTCCAGGAGCTGTGCCTTAGGAGGGTGTGGTGGCTCTGGGCAGTCTTTGCTGTGAGGATGGCTCCCCAAGCCCGCTGGCAGCACCAGAAGGCCACGCGTGGTGCGTGCTCCAGGGGCTGTGTTGTGAGCCAGCGTGGGTCCAGAGCAACCCACTGTCATGTTGGAAGGTGTGCACTGGGTTTTCTTCTTCCGCTACCCTGGTGGAGCTACTTCATTTGCCTTGATCTTACCCGACTTGAGAGTCGTATCTGTACAGCATGCTGAAGCTGGGAGTGCCTATTCTTTACCCTGTTGTGTCACTGAATATAACCTATAACCGCACTTTCATTCTGCCCTTTCGATATGCAACATACATCCCTCCTTTCTTCCTTTACCCTCTTCCTGGCTTTATTTTTTTGTGCCTTTTTTTTTTTTTTTTTTTTCCCTGTTGTGTAAATTATGGCTAGCTGGAGATGAGATTTCAGCATCCTGTTTACTGCAAACAGTTGGGGACATTAATAAACGTTGAAAGACAAAGACAGACCAGGGATTAATAAGTAGAAGACAGGAGATTAATAGCAAGAGAGTAGAATTTGGTTCAAGGCCTGGTCTTCCCAGTTGCTGGGTTATGGAAGATTAATGGCAGCTCGTCTGTTAAGTCTCACTCTTTCTGTGGCAGCTTTCCTGGCCTAGTCTAATAAACTGTGCTAGTAGGTTGGTGAAAATATGAAGTCTAGAAAGAAGCCCATCCTTACAGACTGTTAGCTAAATGAGACAGTATTATATTTGCTTTCTATTCAAAGCTTAAGCAACAGCATGAATATGTTGGTGAGTGGTGAAGTCAGATGTTCAGGTGCTTATAACTCTGGACAAAAACATATCATAAAATGTATCTTGCCAAGCAAGCCATCTCCAACAAATTGGTTTTTTACTCTGTGTCCTGTTCACGGGATTGATTTCTTTTCTCTTGACTGGGTTTTCAGCTTTGTTTCTGTGGAAAATTGGGCTCTTGACCTATTGCATCTGGCCTGTCATTAGGCTTTGTGTGAGATTAGATTATTGTAAGGAAATGCGAACTTTGCAAAGAGCATTCCTGGTCAAATTTGCTGGAGAACATGGGACTACATCACAGAAAATCTTTATTCTGGTAGAAGGGTGCATGCTGTTCTGGGTATCCTATATAGGTGGTCATCCTCAAACTCCTACCTTAAGGCTGAAACGGCCAAGTTAAGTACTGCAGTAGTCCTTTGGCGTCTGCCCTCGTGTATTTTCATAGTCTTCACAAAGATGATCCCAAGTTCTTCATGTGCACAGCCATTTTGGGAAGGAAGCAGCTGTGTTCCAGTAACAGCGAGTGTGATGAAGACAGGGCTAACACCAGCACTTCATGCAGTAATAGCTGAATTTCTTTTCCAGGGAAGAAAGGCTATGTACTGCTTCAGTGTCCCTGTAACAAAGCTCTTCCCCTCTCATCTGCTCTTGCATGCGGTGCCCTTGGCTTTTCATAAGTTAATTGATTTGTCCATATTATGATTCTCTCTTTAGTTTTATTTGTGTAAAGAAAAACATGTGCTAATCTTTCTCCAGAGAAATGTTTCACACTGCTCCTCTTTGAATGTTGGCCCCGGGTCTGCTGCATTTCTTAATGAGTCTCTAACTAAACAGCTACAGTTCCCACATGCTCCAGCCTTGACACACACATACTTGTACACCCACGTGCCTGCTCCCAGTTGAACTGAGCAGCCTGCCTGCCCCCCTCGCACGCTCGCTGCTTTGGGATTTGCATTAGCAAGGCAGCACCTCCCTGGGAAGCCCTACGCACGAGAGAGGGCTTTATACCTGCAGGTATAGATAAATTTGGCATCAGATGACCTGTCCTGTCAATCGCAAAGGCTGTAACCTCTTTACCACACTGTTGTTGTTTCCCGCCTTCCCCCCCCAGGCTCATTTAATGGGAGCCAGGATTCCTGTGGGCTGCGCTACCTGTGGCGAGGACCCGAGCTAGCACCAAACACTGAGCCGAACACCCAACACTCAATTACTGTCTGGTATGCCACTGGCTGCCAGATCTTTGATAGCTTGTTTTTAATGAAGATTCCTCCTGTAATTCCTGGAATATCTTGCAGTGCAAAAAATGAGCTGTGTGTGTATTTTGCTGTGGGCTGAATTTTTTTCCTGCTCTTCACAGTTCCCTCCGTGAACAGAGAGGAAAGGGAGGGGGAAGCATCTGACTGCTTTTTTTGTTGTTGTTTTTTTACTTGACTTCTGTGAAATATGTGGCGATCAATCGCTCGCAACTAACAAAATGTTTTTGTTTCTCTTTGCAAAAGCATATGGGAACTTCAGGAAAAGCATATGGGCGTTTTTAGGAAAACATATTGGTGAATGGACAAATTATAGTGGTGCCAATATGTTTTGGATGTCTGGCTAGACCACTACTACTACCACACTTGCTGGCATGCAAACACACTCACATGCTGGAAATCTTGTGGATGGTGTGTAGCTGCTCCTGGAGAAACACAGGCTGTGCTGGATCAGACCTCTGTTAAAACAGCATTGTGATCCATCTTCAGCGTGCATGACTGCCTCACCGTGTCCCGGACAAGGCTCAGGGCTTGTGTTTATGGCAGCATATCCATTCTCTCAGTAGACTGAGCCCAGAGCTCCACTTGCAGCTGGCTGCAAGTAATGATAATGGTAACCATTTTTCTTTCTAAAGCCCTTGACTGCAGTCCTAATAACACCTGAGCATCTTGCAAACAGGCTAGGCAGCCTCTGGTTTTCCTCTGCTACTCTACCAAGGTCTTTCTGTGTTAGCTGGAGCTATTATTTTTAATTTCTCTGCCACACGGGTTGCTTTTGAGGAAAAGCAAAACATTTGCGTTACTGCTTCTGGGCCCACTCCTGTTTGCCTTGATACCGGTGACCCAGGGAAAGGGATCCACCAGCTGGGAGGAACTTGGTGGGGAGTGGTAAGGGGAATTAAGTGGCCTTGGTTGGTGGGTGGGTTCTGGTGGCTCACAGCATCCCTGCAGCTGGCGTTGCCCTGCTGTGGATCTCCGTGCAAGGCGAAGGCCGCGGTAGCTCCGTCTGGGCAGCCTGCGGCGGGCACGGCTGCGGGGGGGTGGCAGCCCTCTGCCCACGTAAGGGTTTCAGCAGGTCCTAGGGGATGGGCTGAGGTGGAGCTCTGCTTGCGCAGGCGTGCACAGGGAGAGACCCTTCCTGTCCCGAAGAGCTTGCCGTCTAAGTAGACACAGCAGAGCTGCTGAGGAGGATGTCATGGTCTCCGAGTGTCGGGGTGATGGGTAATAACTGAAGGCTGGAGGTGGTTTCATGGGCAGGTTCAACTGGTCTGAGCTTGTACAGTTGCTAGAAGAGGTGGTCCTGCTGTCTGTGTGTCCCCGAGCCCCTACCATCACTTTTATCCTTTAGAGGCACAAATGGTGAGACAGAGGGGTGGGCAAAACATGTGGCTAGAGACTGAAGGGGTAAACGAGATGCACATTTGGGCAGTCCTTTGGACATCATGTTGTTTATCTTGGTTATGAACCTGCACTCTCAGATATTCTGAGTGGTAATTCGGCACCTTTTAGTGTTCTTCCCTTTATGCCAACTTTAGGATGATTTGCTACTGAGTAATTTTACATTATTTAATGTAGCCACTTTCCTTATAGCTCTTTTGTTCCATGAGACAATTCCCTATTTTATTATGCAAACAGTACATTAAGATCCTTGTGGGCCAAAGTTCCCAGCAGTGCTTGAGATGATGGCAGAGAAGTAGGTTATTTCAGAAATAATGATTCTCTTATCTAGAAGCTTTCTTGGAGTTCTGCTTTAACTGCTTTTGATATTATACATGCTTTAAAAAAAAAAAATCCTGTACTTCCTAAATGTTATAGAGCTCAAAAAATACACTGTATGCCTTGTCACAATATTTAATACAGATTGCTATTTACAGTAATGAATCAAAATGTCAGTTTTTAAAATATGAACTGTCAGAGTGTTCCTACTTTGCAGAAAACTTTGATATGACAGTTTGTTAATCATATGACTATTACATCAAATGTGTCTCAGAGTACTTTTGCTCAACAAAGTCTTTTTTTATTCCTTCCCCCTCCCTTTTCACTGTTAATTCTGGTAGAGTTGTTTGACTG